CAATTTATAAAACCCATTTTCATGTTTTTCAATTTTTGTTCCTGTTTCTTCATTTTAATAAGTTGCTCTTCTACTATGACCAAATCTTACTTTACACTGTAAAAAATATCCAGAAAATGGAAGTTTTCCGTATTTTGTAATTTATGTTTTTATTTTTTTATTTTCACCATTTATTGAGGTTTTTTAATTGAATTTTGGGACCTTGAGCTTTCTTCCAAATACTTTTAACCCTAAAAAGATTTTAAAAGTGACATTTTGAACATTTTTAATAGTTTAAAGTGATTTATTGTCTGAGTTGGTGTTGTACATTACAGTACAAAACCTTGTAATAAACTAAATTTTTTGTTATTTGACTTAATTCTCTCTATATTATTTAAACTACTAAAATCTAAATAAAAGTCATTTCAACAGTTGACAGATCAGACATTAACATCCCGTTATGCAATTCATAGCCGTAAAAAAACAGAAAACACTTGTGAAATCACAAAATCCAGAAACTGTTAAAATAACATATTTTACAGCATATCATTAATAGATTTTCAAAAAAAAAAAAAAAAATAGTAAAGAAAATTAAAGCATTTTTCTTTAAATAAAACCCTTTACATTTATTATAAATGTATTTACTTCACTCTTGAAAAGTTATGTTAATAAAAACAAATAATGTTTTTGATAAACAAAAGTAAATACATTTGTATTGTATTTTTGAATGGTTCTGCATTACAGTTTCCATTCAAAAATGAAGCAGACCAACAGTTTTCAACTCTGATAATAACATTAAGCAATGATGCTGAAAATTCTGTTTAAATAACTTTAACTAATTGCTGTTTTAATTTGTAATAATTAAATATTTTGATCAAATAAATTGCACCCTAGGTCAACAAAATTGGTTCAGTTTTCATTTATATATAGATTTTTACTAATCACAAACCTTTGACTGGTCTTGTATATCACATGACCAAAAGTATGTGTGGTCTGATATACATGGAGAAAGCCATCCGTTAACATTTGCTTTCATCAACATTTTCTCGACATCAACTGCAAAATACACAAAATAAAGTGACCGGGATGATCTGCAGTGCCTCTCATTTGTCTGCTCAGCTTTTGAGAGAACACACCTGTGAGCGGTTGTTCAAGCACACACACACTTTACAATTGTTTTGTTAGCAGCTCTGATTAAAAAGCAATAGCATGAAAGAACACATGCAAAACAAATGCAGATCACCACCTGAACGATAGTGACTTTTATGAAACAATCAAATGTCAAGCAAGTAAAACTGTCATCATTTTACGTTTATAAGTAAGCTAAATGTAAATGTTTGTTGACACTTTAGGGTAAGTATTGATTCCTACTGTTAACTATTTGCTTAGTACCTGCTTATTAATAAGATATTGGCTGTATATTAGTACTCATAAAGTATGCTCTCATTCTACATAACTATATCTAAACCCAACTACAATCTTACTAATTATTAATAAGCAGCAAGTTAGTTTGTTCCCCCGAAGAAAATGTACCTTAAAATAAGCTGTGACCAAATGTTTACAGTGAAGGCTGTAATAATTTCTGATACTTGCTTCAAACCACAGCAGAACTGTTTTGTCTCTAATCAAAACACAGCAATTTCGGAATCATTCAATGGCCCATTCATAAAGAGGGGGATTACATTCCTGAATGAATCTGTCTTTTGAACAAATTGAATGAATGAATTGCTCAGTGACTTGCTCCTAATCAATTTAAAGCTACCTACTGGCCTTTTTAATGACCCTTTTGACATTCCTGGGTTTCTCAGTAGTGGAAGTTGTCATAGTTGGGTAAAGCTAGAGCTCAGTGAATAGGAGAGTAAAATAAAACATTTTGTATCAATGGTGTATATGCACACAGTCTTTAAATTTCAGTCAGCCAGCACCAGGGCTTCCGGTCATCCCATACAGAAATGCAGCATTTAAGATCAGATTTTTTTTTTTTTTAAATAATCTTTACTGCCTGGCTGAGATCCGACATAAAGCAGGTCTCAGACCAAACAAGAAGCACTGCAATAAATATTTTTTTTGAACCTTGTCTTTAAAATATGGAAATTAATTTTACGCCAGTATTTTCAATGGAATTTCTGTGTCAGCCTGCTGCTAAAGAAGGTGCATGTGTTTAAACGTTTTTTTTTTTGTCTCTTTTTACTCATTAACAACCAAATGGATGCTTACAGTAAGTCTATTTAACTGATTATATTTGAAATAGATTACAACATTGATGTGTTAAAAGCAACATTATGAAATTAAAAATAGTCACATAAAGCTTTCACTGGAAGTTCATCATTGGCTGAAAAAAACTAGCTGTGCATAAAGTCCATTCTATTTGCCGAAATGATAAAAGAAAAACTCCACGCTGAGAGTTTTTATATGTACCAACGGCAGCTAGAAGAGAAAACATCATCAAATTTACTTTCCTGCCCATACACAATGCATTTCAAAAGTCTTGCGCAAGCGGTATCCTCAACTGTGAAAGAGGGTGGTCTAGATGGGATACAGCTGAGGATACTCACATCAATATAGCATCATTTTAGTGACAATGTACAGCAAATATTATTTTTACATTACTGTTAAGGGTTGGGTTTAGGTAGGAGTAGACACTAATAAAATACAATTAACCCTTAACTGCCTGCTCCCCCAAATGATTGACCATATTTTGACTGTTTTAAATAATGACTGTTAAAGTCATTTAAAGAATGACTGTTTTAAATAATGATTTGCACAAACAGCAGGTTTACATAAATAATTAAATAAATAAATTAATTAATAAAACAAACATCTTGTTGCACTCGATGAACTTGCACTTGTTGCACTTGATGTTAAATAAGAATCTGAAATATTTTATGGCATACCGCAAAAATAAAGATGCTTTATTGTAGTTATTATTATGTTTATTGAAATGTTTGAATTTTCCTGTACTTTTACCATAAACCGACATATCAACCATTTGGTAGATATTGATATTTTAGATATTTTAAATGCATTGAGTGTGTTAACTAGCGACATTAGAAAAAGTAAAGAAATCCAATCTAAAAAAAAAAAAAAATCTGTGACGGGGCAGTTAAAGAGTTAATGTGCAATTTAATAAAATAACATAAATTCTTATCGTTAACTTCCGATCGCAGCTGTATCCCTTCTAGCAACAACGGCAGCGCCCATTACCCGTCATATAACTAATATTATGATCATTATTGAGCTTTTTAAAAGACAATATATGTTCTATCGTTTATTTGAGAATCAGAGTATCAGATATATCAGTTTCAGAGTATCAGTTTCACAATACAATTAGAACTTTTTAAATATTTACAGAAAAGGGCAACACGTAACAAAATACGATATATACTGTAGATGGATCATTGGAGCTGGTGGGTCACATTATAAACTTCACACTTCACCATGGAAGCTTTAGAACGCAATGAATTCTTAGGCCCCATTTACACTAATACGTTTTAGTTTTAAAATATATAAAACATAAGTTTTGCTACGGTAACGCCATCCATCCATACAAGGCTGTTTGGGGCTTTTTCTTTAATATTAAGTAGTCTACACAAAGTTCAGTCTTGCATCCTTTCCTTGTAAGTTCAGACTTCCCAAGTTTGGAAAACAAACTCCCGAGGACACGTCGGGTGAATCTTTTAAGGTAACAGTTTACATTATAGCGTCATTCCCAACAACCTCGGTACATTGTCTTACCTTCTTAACAATAAAATGAAAACACGATATAAGAAACTGCCTATTTTCATTTTAATATTAACAACTTAACAGACACCAAAAACGTTGAGGCATTTTGAAGCTACATATTTATATGACAGGCATCTTTTACTGTGTGAATATTTATAACAAAACGGAACCTATAACATAACTGCCTCCTTGACAAGAATAATTAAATATCACGTTTAATAAATATAGCGATATTAGATCCAGCTGTAGATTCTTAATGAACCATCCGATGTGCAAATCTTTTACCTGGGGAGTTCTGCTCAAAGCACCAACTGGGTGCCTGGAGCTCAGATGCGCGCATACACTGCAGCGCATGCCAGAGTGTGTGTGTGGTCACGTGATTTGCATTTTTTGCAGTATAATGTGAACAGTTTAAGAAACCCTAGGTGAATCGCCGCTGTGGACATGAAGGGTTTTCGTTCTAAAATGCCATTTAAATATTATCACAAAAAAACGGAGGGTTAGCTGGATTATTTAAAACTCATGCGTGAAAGGGTTAAAAACTTTTAAGGGTTTAAGATGCTGATGACTGTTAAATGCATCATAGAAGTCTTATAAAAAGAATCCATATTGCATTTCAATATTTTGACATTTTTTCCCATACTCAGACGTCAATAGATATCTGCAACAATAATAATAAAAAAATAATAAAATTTTAAAAAGTAAATAAAACTTGCTTGCTGAATCATGCTTAAGATATGTAACCTTTAATAAAACAGACAAATTTCAAATTAAAGCAAAAAAAAAAATAATACAATGAATTCCAAGAACATTATCTGGCCTCGCTCTAAAGCTAAGTCGGCGCTTTGTCAGGGTTCAAACCTGCTACTCATTTGAACAAATCCTCAGAGCCTATACAATCACAGATTAGTCAATAAGCTTCAATGCTCGCTATCGCGTTCTTACCGCAGGCCCGAGAAATAGTAAGTGACATTTAAATAAACACGTCAATCTGCTCCGCTCAAACGTGTGGGTAGCACGTAATTCAGCCCAAGCAGTTTCACATATCTGCTCAGTCATGGAATCTAGCACCCTTCAGGGCCAAGTCATGCGGTGTATCAAAATACCTCTGTGCTGATCTAACCCCGGCAAATAAATAAATCAAGAGCTCTGGCGGAAAAGAGCAGAACAGCCGGCGAGGGAACGCCGAGTCCCAATGCATCGTGAGGTGGGGTGTGTGAATGTGTGTGTGTGTGCGCCGGGGGCTGCTATCCTGAGGAAGCGATAAGGAACCTCCCTAGAGGAAAGGGGTGGCTGACCTGTTGTCGCCAGTGATGCAGGCAGCGCAGCTCCCCGTGGGCTCCTCACTCTGCTCATAGTAGTGGGCATCCACGTGGGCCTCCTCCGCCTTCTCTTTCAGGATCTTCCCGAACTTATCCTTTCCGATGCAGCCGAAGAAGGTGCCCACATTGTGCGGCTCCTGGATCATCCACTGGTCAAAAAGAGAGGAAAAGCGATTATTGTTACACAATAACACAGCTTCCATGTCTGAGAGCTTGAAAAAAAAAATAACTGGAAATCGCATATCCAGGATCAAGGAAGTTGTCTATATATTGACAATTCCTGGAAAGGCAGAATGGAGTGTGGTGGAGAGAGGCCCCTGTGCGTGCAACTCAGCTAGAGAATAACTAGTAAAAACAGGAAGTAATAGCAGACTGATAAGGAGAACAAATAAATACATTTTGGTCAGATTCAGGGTATAAATGTTGAAGACAATAAAGCGAGTTGATCTGTTGTGCATTTTAATGTTTGAAAGGGAAGTGGTTGGCCAATGATGAAAACTCAATACAAAATTTTGTTTTCCTGTTTTGTTTTCACATTCAGTATTCATTTATGCCTCACTTCCATGGAGAGGCATGCTTCAGTAAAGTACAGGACAGGATTGTTTAAAATGGGTCACCTTGAACAGTATTGCGTTTCTACTGCCAATTGTACCTTTACTTAGTAGGCATGAAATTCATAATCATTATCCTTCTCGCTCAAAGAACAAAGCCATACCGGCCGTTCACATTTAAGTTCACTATTTAAAATTTAGACATGAACGTGGCACCTCGTTTAGACACGACATATGAAATGCGATAAAAAGACATTCAGCAGAATCTATAAAAGTTTTGCGCTTGGGTCAGATGATTCATTGCTGCTTCCCGTGTTGTTGTTCACTTGTCTTGATCTGTGGTAAAGATTTACTATGTAAATCAACGGCATTCAGCAGTGAGTCTAGCTCTACCCTTTTGTCACTACTCAACCCTATAGACGACTAATCATTAAATCATTGTAATGGTAAAGGGTAACCCAATAAATATGCATAAAAAATAATAGTAAATAATTTGTTGGCATTAATCATGACTTTGACACATAATTACTGTAGGCTTGCATCTTAATATTAGTGTATAGCAGGCCATTTCACTGTAAACTATTGTGAAATTTTGTAATTTTGGAGACAACTTTATACAAATTTTAGGTGTGCATACAATATATGCATTACTGGACATTTAAATAAATAAATAAATAAACAAACAAACAAAAAGTATACAATTGACTTTTCTTTGGCACTGAAGTGGTAAAATTGCATTTCAATATTTCCCTTTTTTCCCTACTACAGAAGTTATTGGATATCAGCAACATTAAATAATATAAGCAAGTAAATAAAAATGTCAGTTTTAGCTAAATTATGAGTAAGATTTGTAACCTTTAAAAAAATATATATTCCAAATCAACTTTGTTTAATTAAAAAAAAAATAGAATAGAATTTACTTGAACATTATCTGGTCTCTAAAGTGGCATTCAGATTGTGTTGAGTTTTGGTCATTTAATCCCCTGAATATAAAAATATCAACTATAACAGACTTGCACAAACTTGTTGCATTTCGGTCACAATATCTTAAAAAGAAAACAGGGGAAGCTTATCAGATTAATCGATCAATTACAGTGGAAGATTAATTGATGGCTAAAATAATCAATATCTGCAGCTCTACTGCTAACCACCCAAGAACTCTCTGAGCAACACATAGTGATTTTCTTTCTAAATGAATCTGCAGTTTGAACAAATCCATGAAACAATGATTCACTGGCCCGTTCATAAAGAGGGGGATTACATTCCTTATTGAATCGGTCTTCTGAAGAAATTGAATGACTGAATTGCTCAATGACTTGCTCCGTCTATTTAAAGCTACCTACTGGGCTTTTTAATTCTGCATTTCCATATTTCCCTTTTTTCCATACTTCAGAAGTCATTAAGTATCAAATTTAAAAAAATAAAAAATTTGGAACAACTTCAAAGCAAGCAAGCAAGAAAATAAAAATGTCAAATCAGCACTTCATCAGGGTTCAAACCTGCTACTCATTTACTCATTTCTTTGGCACTCTACTGAGCTCTGGTCATAAAACCCTCTGATTATAAAGATATCAATTACTGTGTAACTGAATTGTACAAACTTTTCACAAAGGCTGATGGAACAATGAAACGACATCCAGGATGTCTGTCTGTAGGCTGTGCTAAACTCGATTACAGGGGAGCACTAATTCCTGCATCCTGGACGGTGGCTTACCACAAACACTGTGACATTGCCACTTTTATGGGGATGATGAAAAGGTCTTTCTAGGTTTTTAGTGCTGTGGGGTTTAACCTCCGAAGATTTATTAGAGTACACGTTGCTACGTTTGCTGCTTTTATTGCAACCTTGCAGTGTCTGTTGATGGGGCCCCTAGTGAATGAGATGCTCTGCCTGAGAGATGACCTGTATACATGAGAAATTAATCACTCCGTCTGTCTGTGATGCAACACACCTAGCTTTACAGTGTGGAAGTCTGTTTAGAGCTCGACCAAAAAGGCGTAAACATCATAAAGCTGTTGATGAGGCATCCCAGGTTCCTTAAAGTCAATTTTTACTTCAACAGTCTGACATATTTCTTGCCAATCAAAACTCAACTGCGCTACACTCTGCCAGTTTTCTAATCACAGATTTTAACTCCAAAGTAAATCCACTGGCATGGAAATGTTTTCGTATCCATCCCTCAGCTTTGTGCCTTTTAATGATATTTTTCATGGAGTTGTTTGGAGCCTTCATGTTCATGGTGTAAGTTCTGCCACAATATTGACTTGCCAAATTGAACCTTCCAGATGGTGCATTTATCCTAAAATCAATTGAAAGCCCTTGACTGCACACAAGTTATCTTCATTTAACTATTGATGTCTTCTAAAACCAATTGGCCGCACTAGTGATGCTTATAAGGGGTGAAAGTCTTCTCATATCAGTTGTTTTGGTTTTCAAAATAGTAAGCACATTGGAAGCTAAATTAAAAAGCAAAAAATTAAAACTATCATCAGTTACTACTGGTGTTCTTACCCAATATGGCACACATGTTCATTATCATTATCATATAAAAGCAGGACAAACAATGCATAAGAATTACAGTAAGTGAATTAACCACAGTGTTCTGAAATGACACTTCTGTCCAAATATGCCTACCTCTATACTACGTATTTGGAGAAAAACTCCTTGTGAGCAGAATATGTCCATTAGTTTTACTGAGATTTAAGTGCACCTCTTATGGACACTTTACTATCCAATGAGCCCATGCATGGAAGAGAATTTGTGAATGGCAGTGAGGCAACACAACTCATGCAAATGTTTGCAACATGAATAACATAGTATTCTTAGAAATGTATTCCCAATGACCATATTAGTCCTATAAAGATCATGCATTTATAACAGTGGCAATGTAAACAATTCATTTTCAAGTAATTTTCAAATCAAATGCACTACCTATTAGATAGCATGTGATTTTGACACTGCAATTTATTTTAGAGGGCCAAACATCAAATGGGTAAGAAACATCAAAGTGATTGTATTGGGTATTTTCATAATGTAAAGAAATTCATAAATATCTAATCAGCCACTTAACAGCTCACTTAACTAAAAGCATAGTGAAGACAATCTGTAAAGTTACATTTTTTTTGTGGATGTACATGTTTTCTTGATGGCAGAGATAAAAATAAATATATATAATTACATTTTTATTAATAATCATTAGTAACACTTTATTTTTAAGTCACAATTCACACTAATAACAAACCTTTCAATAAGACTGTTAGCTCAAACTACTAACTAGCTGCTTATTAATAGTTAGAAAAGCAGTAGATGGCGTTAGGTATTGTGTAGCTACTGTAACTTTATAACTATTTATAAATATTTAATATCTTAATAATAGGCAAGCAATAATTTAGCAGTTAATATGCTACCAATCATATTGATCATGCTGTACAATAAGCATACCTTCCAACACTCGCGTTTTTCCCAGGAGTCTCCCGTATTTAATCAGCGATGCCGGCTCAGCATCGTGTTGTCTACTGGCCATCGATGATGGACGATGGCATCGTCTATTGGCCCAACCCTACCAACAACTTTTCCAGCATATGTTGTTATGCAGCAGATGCCCTTCCAGCGGCAACCCAGCACTGGTAAACACCCATACACTCTTGCATTCACACACATACACTATGTCCAATTTAGCTTATTAAACTCGCCTATAGTGCATGTCTTTGGAGTGTGGGGGAAACCAGAGAACCTGGAGGAAACCCAAGCGAACATGGGAAGAACATGCAAACTCCACACAGAAATGCTAACTGGCCCAGTCGTGACTCGAACCAGCGACCTTCTTGCTGTAAGGCGAAAGTGCTACCCACTGAGCCACTGTGTCATTATAAAGATGAATACACTGCATAATAATAACAATGAATACTGTAATAAATGTATTGTTCATTATATGTATCTGTTTGTAAATACAAAACTTAAGTTGGAACCTTATTGTACAGTGCTACCATCATTTTTAGATGAAGCAAGATCAGTGTGACTCAAATTGTGGTCCATAAAATCTAAAAGGAAGATTTGTGCATGCATAAATTAGTCGCTTTTGATTTGATGTTGACTTACACCTCGAGTGTTTGAAATGCGCAACTGCCCAGCTCTCTCTGATCATCCCCACCGAATCTAACATTTCCTGAGGTCATCTCTCATGATTCCTGCTGCTTCTGTTTACAGACCCAACACTTACAGACAACAACACTCCAACATGACATGCTGCGTTGCATTTTAACCGCACCTGGAGAGTGTTTTCCACCAGGTGCAGTTACTTGACAACAAACCATGGGGGAAAAAATTTAATAAAAAAGTCCTGAATGTAAAAAAAAACACACACACATTAAATGTATACATGTCAGTATTGGGACTCAATTGGCAGCTGCGCGCATCTTTGATCATTAGAGACAGCAGAGCTCCAATGGCAGCTGATTAGGAAGGATGGGGTCGGGGCGGCGCTTTTAATAAGCCTCCAAAAACAGCTTGGCACAGCACACACCTTTGTTCCGACTCGCATAATCAAAGCCAGCCAAAAACTGCGGCCAATCAAAGAGGTCCGCTGTGAAACACCAGT